TTGTCTTCTTACAATTCTGATTTCTAGGGTTTCTTGGTTGGTCGTGTTCTTTCTTCGATAATCCTTTCTGCTCCCTCAATTCTTGCATACCAACTGTTTGCTATAATTCCTCACTGAGTTTTTCTGAAGCAATCTCCATGGTGACTGCAACGCAACTTCAGCTTGTGCAATCTTCGATCACTGCCTTAATCTCCACCATTTCGACCTTGGTGAATGTAAAATTGGATGATTCCAATTACCTCAATTAGCACTTTCAGCTACAACTTTTGTTGGAAAGCAATGGAATTATAGGGTTTGTTGATGGCTCACAACCCTGTCTTGCTCAACATTCAGTTACATATGGTGAATTTGGTAATACTTTTGTTGAATCTGATGAACTTGTGGTATGGAAAATGCATGATAGGGCTATAATGCAATTGATTACTGCCACTTTGTCTCCTGGTGCTTTATCATATGCTATTGGTAGTAAGAGTTCTCAAGATCTTTAGACTTGTTTGAAAGAATAGTTCTCAATTGTATCAAAGACTACTATTTTTCAAATGAAGTCTAATCTTCAGACCATTAAGAAAGATTCTGACTTAGTGTCTCAGTATTTTCATAGAATTAAAGAAGCTAGAGATTACTTAGTTGCTGCTGGGGTTTATTTTGCTGATGAAGATATTGTTATACTTGCTCTCAATGGTTTACCCCTTTAGATGTGTCATTCGAGGTTGTGAAAATGTGATCTCTCTTAAAGAGTTTCGATCTCGGTTGCTTGCTGAAGAGATCATTGTTGAAAACGCTACAACTGCACCATTTATTACTACCATGGTTACCAATCATTCCTCTCATCCTGGAAATGATCAATATTCTAATCATGCATATGGTCAGTCTCAATTCTTTTCTGGTGGTTATAAGCATTTTAATGGGAACAAAAATAAAGGAAAATGCAAGTTTAATCAAGGGGTTCGGTTCTATTCACCCAAACAGTCTACTTGAACGCATGTATTTCCTACACCAAATCCAGGAATACTTGGTCAGCCACTAGTTTCGTATTTTGGTAATCCAAGTGCACCGTTGCTGACTCTTTGTCAAATTTGTAATGCTGAATGACATACTGCACCATTTTGTCAATTCAAACCTTCTGTTAGAGCTCTTTGTCAAACATGTGGCAAGCATAATCACAGTACATGGTACTGTTTTTACAATGATAAAGGTCCAAATTTTGGTGGTCCTACTCAGCAAGTCTATCCCTCTCAGGTGCATTCCTCCAACCTTAGTGCTCCAAGTTATAATGCTTCATTTCAGTCATCCCCAATGTAATCTCTACAATTTCAACCTCAACAACAATCTTTACAAGCTATGCATACTGTGATGACTCCATCCCCCTCAGCACCATCTACATCTCATTTTAATCCTCAAGTATGGCTTACTAACTCTGGGGCTACCAATCATATGAATGCTAATCTCAGCAATCTATCTCTGGCTTCTCCATATCCAACATCTGAGACCATTCAAACTGCAAATGGTGAAGGTTTACCCGTGTCTCATATTGGTAGTACAGTTCTCAATATTTCCAAAATGAATTATGTGCATCCGATTAAGCTCAACTATGTGCTATATGTTCCTAAGCTGTCACAAAATTTGTTGTCTGTGCATCAGATATGTTTAGATAATAATTGGTGGCTAATTTATAATGCATTTTGGTTCTAAATACAGGACGAGGCCACATGGATGATCATTTACAAAAGAATGTGCCATAATGGACTATACTCGATTCCTTGCCTTTCTGCAATCTCTCCTGCATCCAATCTAGTACCATTTCAAGCTAAAGCATTTCTTGGTCAAGATATTCATTCTACTACTTGGCACAATAGACGAGGTCATCCATCCAACACAATTGTCTCTTTGGTGTTAAGTCAAACCAATATTCCCTGCCCCAAAGTTTCTTTACTAGTTATGTGCTCTAGTTGTTTGGAGGGTAAATTTTGTAAACTTTCTTTTTCACTAAGTCCTAATAAGTCTGTAAAACCTTTTTCTATTGTGCACAATGATCTTTGGGGTCCAACTTCTTCTGTTTCAATTGATGGTTACAAATATTATGTGACCTTTATTGATGAATGTACAAGACACTGTTGGCCTTTTCCATTAATAAATAAATCTGATGTCTTAGCTACTTTCATTGCCTTTCATTCATTTGTTGTTACTCAGTTGCCAACCAATATTCAAACTTTACAAAGTGATGGAGGGGGGAGTATGTTAGTAAACCATTTCAATCTTTTCTTCTAGACAAAGGAATTACTCATCATATTTCCTATCCCTGTACACCTGAGCAGAATGGTCTAGCTGAGAGTAGGGATGGGCAACGGTTATGGCGGGCGGGTAACTGCGGTTATTTACCCATAACCATTTAAGCTTTTACCCGCATAACCGTTTAGCTGTTAGGTATTTACATAAACGGGTATACCCATACCCATAGCCGCATACCCATTTACCATAACCGCGTACCTGTTTACTTTTTTTTTTTTTAACCGTTTACCTATTTTTTTAAAACTGCAAAATTAAAAAGAAATTTGTCATAATTTTCTTTATTCTAACTATTAAATACTGTTATAAGTACATTTAACATGTATTTTTATATTAACGGCAATATTATTTATGAATATATGCGATGTCTCCCAATTATTTGACGGTCAATCTATTACAAGAATCATGCATGGTTGTAGGTTAATTAATATTCTTGTACATATATATATGTGTGTGTGTGTGTGTGTGTGTGTGTGTGTGTGTAAGTACGCATCAGTCTGCTAATAATCTAATTTGATAAATATTTGGATTTTTATTTAGAAACATATGTTCATTGATCCAAGCCATTTAATCGATTTCTAATTTTGGGGACAAATATTTATTGAAAACTCGAAGCCAATTAAGATTATATATATAGGTACGCATCATCTGATAATAACATGTTTCTAAATGTTCAAGGTAATCATTATCTTGAATTGGTCAAAGCTCCAAAAGACTCCAAAACAAAAATGTCGAACACTCTAATGCTTTAGCACATTCAATCACATATATTAAACATTAGCCCGTATATATATATATATATATATATATATATATATATATATATATTATATGGCCCTTTATAACCAAATATATCTCGAGATACTAAACCTAGTTAGAAACTATTTTTTTTTTTTTTTTTTTTTTAGTTTTACATATAATAAAATAAACGGTTAAATGGGTACCCATTTATAACCGCGAGTAATACCCATAACCACCCATTTAAATTTCACGGGTAAATGGTATACCCATAGCCGTTTATTTATCTAAACGGTTACCCATAATCGTAACCTTCAAATTTAAATGGGCGGATAACCACGGTTACCCATAACCAATGGGTATTTGCCCATACCTAGCTGAGAGAAAGCATAGGCATATTATTGAAACTACTATGACACTTCTACAAACAGCTAGGTTACCCGCAAGTTTTTGGTCATATGCTTGTCAAATAGCCATATACCTTATTAATAGAATGCCAACTCAAGTACTAGGAAATAAATCTCATTTTGAACTCTTGTTTGGGCATTTTCCTGCTATTTCACATCATAGAACATTTGGATGTGTTTGCCATCCATTATTAAAGCCTTGTAATGAAACCAAATTACAAGCCAAAACTACCAAGTGCATTTTTCTGGGATATGCTACCAAATATAAAGGGTATATTTGTTATAAGGTTTCTAAACAGAGAATTTATGTCTCTAGACATGTAGTATTTGATGAGACTCAACTTCCCTACACAGATTTGTTGGTACCTAATAAAGCACCACTTATATCCTCTGTCACTTACAATTCACAACTTCCATTGCCTGTGATGATAATGTTGTTTTGCCTATGCCTAGCTCTTCTTCCTCTTCTATAACAGTACCATCACATTCTTCTCATGACTTCTTATTTGTGCCTCCTAATTCTCATGTGTCACTCTCTAATTACATCTTCACCACTGTCATCTCAGTCCATTACTAGTTCTTCCACCTCTAATCCTCAAGTCCCTGTGGTACTTGTCAATAGTCTTGATGTTACTTTAGCAGATCAGTTTTGTCCTGAAGCAATGCAAGTGGTGTTGGAAGTTCCACCACTCAATTTGCATCCTATGCAAACTCAGAGCGAAAGTGGGATTATAAAGAAGAAAGCCTTGTTGGCTACTATTCAAGAGTCTGAGTGTACTAATTTATCTCTCATTGAACTAACTTCATACAAACATGCAATGAATGATCCTATTTGGTTTAAAGCTATGCAAGAGGAGGTCAGTGTTTCAAATAAACAAGGTACCTGGAGTCTGGTGGTGTTGCCTTCTACCAAGAACTTGGTGGGTTGTAAGTCGATATCCAAGATTAAGAGGCATTCTGATGGCACTATTGCTCGCCATAAAGCTCGTCTAGTAGCTAAAGGGTTCAGTGAAGAACCTGGAATTGACTATAGGGAAACATTCAGTCATGTGGTTAAACCCACAACTGTTAGGTTAGTATTGGCCCTTGCAGCTCACTTTAGTTGGTCCCTTAGGCAACTCGATGTCAAAAATACCTTTTTACATGGTATTTTGGAAGAAGAAGTGTATATGGCTCAACCTCCAGGGTTTACAGATGTTAATTCTCCTCACCTAGTTTGCAAGCTACACAAGTCTCTATATGGACTCAAGCAAGCTCCTCGAGCTTGGAATGATAGGTTTACAAAGTTCTTGCCATACTTGGGTTTTAAAAACACTTATTCAGACTCTTCTCCATTTGTCAAGCAGGTTGATTTTGGCATTGTCATTCTATTACTTTATGTGGATGATATTATCATCACATGAAGTATAGCTGCAGCTATACAACAAGTTATTGATGCATTAACAACTGAGTTTGACATCAAGGATTTAGGGGATTTTCATTTCTTTGGGCATTCAAATATCAAGAACTACAACTAGTTTATGTTTGTCTCAGTCCAAATATGTTTTAGACCTTCTTACTAAGACTGAGATGGTTGATTCCAAACCTTGTGACACTCTTTGTTTGCCTTACAATGGGCTTATTAAAGATGATGGTGATCCCTATATAAATCCTACCTTATACAGGAGTGTGGTAGGTGCTTTGCAGTATCTAACCTTTACAAGGCCCGATATAGCATTTTCTGTCCATCAAGTGTCTCAGTTCATGCAGAATCCCATGGCTTCCCATTTTACTGCAATCAAACGTATCCTGAGATATTTAAAGGGTACCCTTCATCATGGCATCTATTGTTCAAATGGACCACTGCAATTAAAGGCCTTCAGTGATGCGGATTGGGCAGGCAATCCAAATGATAGGAGGTCTACTACTAGCTTGGCTGTATTTTTAGGGAACAATCCTATTTCTTGGTCTTCCAAGAAGCAGTTGACAGTTTCTCGATCCTCCACTAAGGCTGAATATTGAGCTTTGTCATCCACTTCTGCTGAAATAGACTGGATCAAGCAATTGTTAGCATTTCTGCAGGTTTCTTTATCCTCACCACCTGTGTTATTTTGTGATAATTTGTCAACCATTGCTTTAGCTTTTAATCCAGTTAACCATCAATGCACTAAACATATTGAGGTTGACGTTCATTTTGTGCGGGAAAGAGTTGCTCAGAAGCAGCTTTCTGTTCAGTTTATGTCTTCTAAAGAGCAGTTTGTTGATATTTTGACTAAAGGCCTGAGTTCTCCTTTGTCTCTTACTCATTGTCACAATCTCATGCTCCGTCCATCGAAGCATGAGTTTGCGGGGGGATGATAGAGTATAATAGTTGATGTATAAGATGTTGCCATTTGTAATTAGATTAGAAGATCCGTTAGTTAAGGCAGTTAGTCTTGTAATTATAGGATTATAAATATCTCGGCCTTGTATTACTTGAAGATTAAGGAAATATAACAAGATTCTTCTTCTCTCTCTAAATTCTCTCTCTCTCTCTCTCTAAGTTTTCTTTATTCTTCTTCCTTGTGTAAGATTGATCTTGGTTAACATATATTAGCCCACACCTCTATCAAAACCTATAGCTTCGCCGTTGTAAAGGACGGTGTTTTATAGTGGTACTACTACAACAAAAAGCAACCCAAGTGATTTTCATTAACGAAAACAGAAGGAAATCCGTCTATATATGCAACATCAGCGAAGTAATAGGGTTGTCCTTATAGCCTTTGCAACACTGATGACTAATACATTGCTTTAGGACTTGTTTATAAACCATTAAATGGAAAATCTTTGGCCATTTCCTATAAGGAATAATATTTCCTATCAAACAAATCACAATTAGAGGAGTATACATAGCTTTTTCTTTTTATGCTTATTGAGTTATCCTGGTACACTTGATTTACATGTAAGATGGAATGATTCCTTACAATAGAAGGAGCCGATTTAGTAGTGTTAATTTATTTGTAATTTACTATGTAGGTCTCACTATAATATGTGCTTGTTTAACATTTCGTTATCTCCTGTGCAACATTAATCATTAATACATTGTTGATGACTTGTAAGAATACATACTTGCAGCTAAATCACAGTTTAATATGTATACAAATTTTTTTTCCTTTTGTGCTTTTCTGTGAGTTATTTATGCGTACAGGGAAAATTGTAATTCACAACTAAAAAGGAATGGATCCTTACAGATTTGTCCATTAATTTTTATTTTTAATTTACTACGTATGTCAAGAAATATTGTGATACAAAGACAAGTTCACGGGCTCATAGCTATTTGTAGGTTTTCTTTTGCTCACAAAATACGTACTTACATTTTAAAGGTTTAAGATATGGCCAAATCATTTTCACTCCTCATTTTTCTAATCGTTCTTGTTCTTCCGTGTTCAGGTAACTAGCTACTAGTCCCTCCACGTCCTATTGCAAATATCCATGCATGACGAATTTTTTACTACTATATACGCTGATTTTTAGTAAAACTCTTTCTTTTTTTTCTTTTTTTTATGTCTTCACTTGTCAAATATATCTGTGCAGCTACTACCGATGCCAAGAGATGCAAAGTGGTGAGAGCGGATTAGCTCTGCAATAATATAGGGTATGACGAGAAATGTGAAGAAAAGTGTTGGTTGCAAGATCTCAGCAGCTCGTCAAAATGCGAAAATACCCCCGGCGTGTCTGGTGAAATATTTTGCACATGCATGGTTCATTGCGATTAGGGTTTCTCTTTTATGTTGTATTGTGCGTCCCTTCATGGAATATCAATAAGGATGAGAAATAAATAAAAGAATACGTTACTTGGATCTTTGGATGATATAAGAATTATCCATCCATATATCCATCTTTCATCTCTCTTTTTGTTGTTCAACTGGTTTCGTTATCGTTGGCTGGCTGTTAAAGGACTCTCTTTTTTCTTTAGTGAACTTTTAGTTAACTCTCCTTGATTTTTATTTTTATTTTTTGAACTTTGAACCCTGAATGCGGTGAGTGGAAGAGAAAAATTTCATCCACCAAGCAATCACTTGCATCTCTCTTTCATTTATTTATAAAGAAATTAGATTTGATTAATGGAGAAAAATAATTATACCTGGGTTCCATTACAAATGGGGCGTGTCTCTCAAAGAAAAACAAAAATTTTTTACCTGATCCCAGTGAGTTAACTTCAAACAAATTAAAGATTAAATTCACAATTTTGTTTTCATCTAATTAAATTTAAAGATTGGAGTTTATGTTTACAAAAAACAAAAGTTGATAAAAAAAATTATGATATATTATATCTTGCGAAATGGTACCCTATGTAAGAGATATTCTAAAAGGCACAACAAGAAGACCATTAGGACCACAAATATAATGAATCGAATCAATATAAAATAGAGATGAACTAATTGTATTAAACTTATCTGTAGAATACAGAAGACGTGACTATTTCGGATGGCAAAAAGAGTCTTCTACTCTCTACAAATTGAAGAGTTCCAACAATGATAGGGCTTGCTCATAATAAAATGTGTACACAGGGCAATAAAGGCCTAGATCCTAACAACGTCATGGCATGCTCAATTATCTATCCACATGCTCCACCGATTGTGTGGACCCCGTCAATTCCTTTGAGTTTCATTCTTCCGAATGTACGTTGTGAGAGTAGTGACTATCCTTGTATAATTGCTAGGATATCTCTCAACCAAATCTATTATTAAATGAGAGATTGATACTCATAATCACAATAATATATTATATATCCCACCGTAGTAAGTTTACCAAATAGGAATTATGTACATAATTGGTCAATCAAAGTTAATACTATATTAGGACTGGAAGATCAATCAAATGATCAAGTGATGTAATTGACAAAGATATCGATACTCACAATAATTCTTACAACCCATGCATGGAAATTGTATATATGAAACCTTCTCCACAGATAAAAGCAATACCAGTGCATTAAAAGATCCATGAAAACTAATCAACTAATTTTTTTCATATCGCTCTTCCTCTGAGGAGGCGAAGGTACTTGCTGATTAGCTATATATTCCTTAGCCTCAAACTTTGATATTTTCAGCTTTTCTACAGCACAATACAAAGCCAGTAGTTAGGAACATATATAAGATACTTATGTTGTCCTAAGACTGAATATGGACCATTGATCAAGTTGTTTCTCACTTCAACTTGTAGTCTGAATTTAGGATTTGATAATATAAGCATTTATCTGAAAACATAACTACATAAAACACTACCCCATATGATCAATATGTTCCTAAAACTTTTAAACTTACCAGCACTCTCTTTGTTTCCACATTCGGTGTCACACCTCATCTCACAGAAAGTGTGACCGCTGGACCTTTCCATCTCTTGTCAAAGCACTCCTTGAATTCATCGTCATTAGCCTCGGCCTTGCAAACATGGATTGCTGCAAGAACAACCACAAACATGAGAAACACTGCAACAAGCTTCGAGGCCATAATCTTTTATTCGTCGTTATGATTATCTTTCTGTTTTAGTTTCCTCTATGTTTTCGAGTTTGTTCGTGACTTGATTGGGTGGATGGAGGAGGAGATAGACGAGAAAATATATTGATTAGGAGTTTGACACTTATTTTAGGCAATAACTACACCTGATAAATGGGAAATGTCAGTTACAAATGGTTGATACTGTTCTGGCATGGTATTGAGAGCGATGTCCGATTGCCTTATACAAAATTCACCAAGAAACGGTCTTCATGCCTCTTTCTTTGCAATCAAGTTTTTTCCCCTTCATTTGCAAATGCGGAGTTCATGGTTTTTAGGAAAACTAATATACAAAAATAAGTGGTATTGTATGGAATATTTAAGACAATTTGATTATATACGAGAGATTCCTCGTAGGGTTGGTCGAGTTTATGCAATTGTCACCTCACCACTGTTGAACATGAAATTGTCTAATTCTCCTTTGATGTTCTCCTTAAGCATGGAGTGGCAAGATGATTGACAAAAAGCCTCAACATGGCAATCACTACTACAAAATTATCTATAACTGGCGGTTCAAAAACCGACAAAAAAAGTATATTACTAACGGATTTTAAGCAAAATCTGACAGAAAATGAATGCAGTGTCAGATATAATAAGCGACAGAATTGCCAGCGTCAGGAAATAAATTTTCCGATAGAAAATACTCTAAAACCGATAGAAATTGTGTCGGATATAACCGACAGAAATTGTGTCAGATATAACTGACAGAAATTGTGTCGAATATAACCGACAGAGAATAAATTAATAAAGAATAAATAATAGCATTTTCTGTCAGATAAAACCGACAAAAAATATACAAAACCGCCAACACTTATGTCAGTTATAACCGACAGGAAATATATTAATAATAAATAAGACTATTCTCTGTCGGATAAAACCAACAACAAATAGATTAATAATAAAATATATATAAAAAGGTCTTGACGGCATTATCCCTTCTTCTTCTCCTTCTCGTTGAAAGTGAAAGTGACGACTCCTTGTCTGTCCTAATTTTTAATTTTGTATTCCCTGGAGCGGTTCTAATTCTTCTATGGTAAACTCTGTTTTACATTTTCTTCTTCGTATTCTTCTTCTGGCGGTGGTGTTGCTGGTGCTGTTCCTGCTATTGATGATGATGATGCCCCAACTCTTCAAGAAAAGTATGATGTGTTTATTAGTTTCAGAGGTGAAGACACCCGCCCTACTTTTACCAGCCATCTTCATGATGCTTTACTGCACAAGAAAATTGATGCATACATGGATTACAGACTTGAGAGAGGAGACGAAATTGGAACTGCCCTAGTAAAAGCAATCAAGAAGTCAAGGCTTTCGATCATCATTTTCTCCAAAAACTATGCGTCTTCCACATGGTGTTTGATTGAAATGACCCAACATGCTTGAACCAGATTCTGCAGCTGCAAACCAGATTGAGATAATAAGGTACACCATATTCTTCACTTCCTACAGTTCATCCTGAAAATACAAAGCAATGAGGATCAAATTGGT